TAGCTTAGGACCCTCTTTCACTTCTATTCTGATGGACTAAATCTTTCATAAGGAGTACTAAAAGTTTTGAATAAGAAGAAAAAAGAAAATTAGATGGTTTTGGTTCAAAACTAACACTGAATATCCAGATCCTTGACATGTAGTTCCATAAACATAAAAATTTCAACATAAAACACACAATGCGAACTGAAAATGGGAAAGTGCGAAAGAGGAAAAACTTACTTCCTGATACCCCAAAAGAGAAAATAAATACCTTTTTGCAAGTGAGGGGAGAGACTAAGAAATAAATGCAATTGGTGTTGCGTTCCAGTAATTCTTCTCCATTTTTTTCTTTGTAAATAAAAAGCTAAAAGACAGAGCACTGCTTGGGTTTACAATTTTACATGGCGGAAAACTGAAGAAAAAAAACCAAACGAGAGTGCATGTGAGCGAAAAAACTGAGAGGTAAAGGCGTTGTTTGGGATTTCATTATATTTGATCATCTGTTGGAAAATATTTAACAACAAGTATTAAACGAAGAAATTATTATATGTCATTTATACAAAATAATTCCAGTTTTGTTAGTGACTTTCAACAATGATATTTAGTTCATCTTAGTGGTATTTGTCAACTCTTTATTTCTAACCCCATTTTTTCTCACAAGCATTTCATCGAACATCTATGTTTCACCTGAGATGATCTGTATCTAACATTACACCTTAAATCGTTGATGGTCTCGATAGTCCCTTGGTCGGGTCTTCTTTCAATGGACCCTATTCAAGTTAACACCTCCACATAATTCAAAGTTAGATTAGAATTTCACATGCATCCCCGACATAAAAGTTACGTTGGAAATGAGAAGAGAGAAGAGAAAAAGGAAATTCCAGATCGAAAAGGAATTTGAGGTTTAGAATGAAATTGAGGAATGTGTTGCAAGTTTTAAAAGTTGGGGGGACCTAAATGCAAGTGTTTGAAAAAGTTCAATGACCATATTGCAAACAGACTAACGACAGTGTAACGGCGTCAAACGGCCGGTTACATCGGGGACCATATTGCAAATGGACTAAATGTTAGAGGACTGTATTGTAAGTTTTAAAAGTTAGGAGACTTAAATGCAAGCTTCAGAAAAGTTCAGTGACCATTGCTATACTTGACCTATAAAAAATGATTAAAAGTCGGGCATGCCGAGCACACTTAACTTGAATATTGAGATTGATTTTACATTCCTTTTCACGTTAGGTCCCCTTTTAGATTCTCAAATTTTGCTTTCTCTACAATTTCCATCGAAAACAAATTGTTGATCAATATAGTCTTCAAAATAGATAAAAATAATAATGAACGTATGCATCGTCTTCAGTGAAGGAATTTGGTGGTAGAATTTGGGGTTATAAAATTTTTAAAAATTTAGATGTTTAAATTAAAATTTTCAAAATTTTTGAAGGATTCAATTTACATTTTTTATAAAAAAAATGGGGTGTAGCTAAAATTTTTAAAATTTTGAGAGACTTAATGAGAATTTTTAAACAATTATGGGAGGAATTTAATTAAGAATATTTAAAAATTTAAAAATTAATATGAATTTCTAAAAAAATTGTAAAGATCAAATTAAATATTTAAAAAAAATTTAAAACTATATTTTTTTCAAAATTTTTGGGGTCCATGGCCCCATTAGTATCCATTATCTTTCACCACCAATCGTCTTCCATATACCTTATCTTTCACCACCAATCGTCTTCCATATACCTTTAAAATGAGTTATAAATAAATGAGACGAGACAGATCGTGAGCTACTCGAGATCGACTCGATCTTGGCTTGATAAATACTCGGATCGAATGGACTCGACTCGAGCTCGAACTCGACTCGAGTTCTTAACGAGCCGAACGAGCTACTCGATATTCGACTCGAAAAGCTCGTGAGCAGCTCGAAAAAATATTATATTATAATTTTAAATTTTTTAAAATTACATTATTAAAAATATATTAAAAATACATTATTGATGAATAAATATTCTTGAATTGAAAATGGTTAAAAATTATTTTTGAATAAATATTCTTATATTTATTTTAAATCGATAAAAAAAAATTATTTCTCTAATGACAAATATTTAATATATTTCTAATGAAAATATTTGTAATAACTAATTTTTTTAAATTATTGTTATATTTTGAGGTTTTGGGTTCAAATATCATAAATATCAAGGGTTTGAGCATTTAATATCAAGATATTTTATTGTACTTACCGCATAACTAATTATGTGATAAGGTTTAGGGTTTAGGATTTTGGGTTTATGTGATAGGATTTAAGGTTTAAAGTTTAGAGTTTAGGGTTTATGTGTTAAGATTTAGGGTTTATGTGTTGGGGTTTAAGTTATGCCATGAAGGTAACATACAAATTATGCAAAATGATGTTATGTGGCTCATAAATAAATTATTCACATACTTATACATAAACATATCAACATGCAAAAATAAATATACACAACTAATTAAAGAAAACAATCCTAAACAGAGACTAAATTAAGAAAAATCTAAATGTGAGGGCTAATTTAAGCTAAAATTTAAATAATTGAGGGATTGTTTTGTACAAAACGCATAAATCTAGAGAGCCTAAAGTTAATTTACCCCTAAGGATCAAATTCGAGTTTGAGTTCGAGCTTTAATCGAGTTCGAGCTTGAATCGAGCTTGAATCGAGCTCAAAATCGAGCTCAAAATCGAGCTCAAAATCGAGCTTCAATCGAGCTTCAATCGAGCTCGAGTCTCGAGCTTCAATCGAGCTCTTGATTTTTTTTTTGAGTTCGAGCCTTTTCGAGTTCGAGTCAAGTTTTAATATTATCTTTCGAGTTCGAGTCGAGCTTGAAAATTTTAGGCTCGCGAGTTTTCGAGTCGAGTCGAGCCTACATTTAAAGTTTTCGAGTTCGAGTCGAGCTCGACAATACTCGAGCTCGACTCGGCTCGTTTACACCCCTACTCCACACACTACGTACTAGATTTGGAGAAAAACCTATATCAAGTTTACTTCTCTTAAATGTCATGGTCACCATCTCATCCTAGAATAGAGAATAAGATTTACAATAAAAAAAATAGAAACAACATTATAGAGCATTGTTTTGTTGAGTTTTCTGTCTATTAATAGTTATAAAATAGTCATTCGATTATTCATATGTTCTAAACTCATTTTTTTCCATTAAAAAAATTGATGGTAGTCTGAGCTGGACTTTAACTTACTGGTTGAGATATGATAAAATCATATTTTAATGATGTCTACTGGCAGTTTGACACCATTATTGCTTTCAAACAGTGGCTCAACAACATAATATTTCAAGCACTGACTCGACGACATAATATAAACAGAGAGTCGATCCACAAAATACAACTTAAATAGTTATGAGATTATGTTTTATCATATCCCAATCAACAAGTTAACGTCCAGCTCAGACGACCGCCAATTTTCTAACGAAAAAGTACGAATTTGGAACATATCAATAATTGGATGATCATTTTGTAACTTTTAATAGTCAGTGACCATTTTGTAACTTTGAATAGTCAGGGGACTCAACAAAGCTACACCCTATAGTCAGAAGATTGTTTTATAACTTTTAATAGTCGAGACTCAACAGAACAACACCTTATAATCAAAAACCATTTGTATAATTTACCTGAAAAACAAATCTCACTGAATTAAATATTTTTAATTTAATAAGATTATGGTTTTGGTTCATATACTATGATCAAGTTTCAAATTTAATTATATGTATATTGTCATAATCATTGATATCTGATTATTCATATATTACAAACATCTATTATTAGATTGATGTTTCCAATCTATCTTGTTTCATTCATGGTATCAGCTAGTTTATCACATAGAGGAACTGTTATTTGATAAATTTAATGTAGACTTTAATTTGACATTATTTTGTTATTTTACTTTTTTTAAATGTTATCAGCTAATTCACTTAACTAATTATTTATATCAAAATGTTGACACAAACTTTTCATTAAAACACTTTCTTCCACCAAAAAAGTCCATATCAACAATTTAATTAGAATAGTTAAAGTGAATAATAATAATTTTTTAATTAACAATCGATATCCAATATTGATTAATCCAGATCGAGTTTGGAAAAGGCCCATTATGAGAATGACTCTTCAAAACCCAATTTGCTCAATACGTAATTACCAAAATTCGAAACCTAACTTTAAAGATTTCAGTATCTCATCCCACTATACAAATAATAATTAATTTACTAGTGATATTATAAAAATTGAAATAAAAGAAATTAAATCTCAAATTTAAATATAATAAAAACATCAAAAATCTAAATTTGACATCGAACTTCAACAAATTCCTTTTTGCTTTCACGAAAACTCCTTGATCGATTCAATTCACATTCAAATTCCAAAAAATGGACCGGCGGCAAATTGGAAGGATTTTAAAAAGTTAAAAAGCACGTCCAAGGATGGCAACGGACAAAATTACACCGAAATAGAAGGACATTTCCGTAACTACTTAAAATAAATCAAACCGGAAAAAGTAAAGTATAAATTTCATAATTAAATTTGCTTAATCTCCTATTTTTCTTATAATACTTTAAAAAAAAATTTCATTTCTTCACTAAATTTAATACATCGATTTTTTGTCACTCCGTCGTTAAATAATTAACAACGTTAAAATAATACCGATTAAAAAAAATAGATTTAAAACAACAACATTTTTCATTTATATAAAAATTTATTTATAATATCGTTAGTGATAAAAAGAAATTTAATATAATAATTTAGTAAATAAATTAAAAAGATTTAAAGTATAATGATGAAACAGTAGAGAGAATAAAGTTTACTTACAAAATTTATAATTTACCCAAACGGAAAATGGAGAAAAAGGAACTCAACTGGCTTTCTACTCTCATCCACGTCACGTCACCAGCATTCCCCGTTATGAATAAACGAATCTGATTGGTGAAATAGACGTGTCCATTCCTATTTCCGCGAGTATAAAGTCAGTGTTCCTACTCGCAGTCCATTATCATTTCTACACATTGATCTCTCTTTCTTTATATAAAACGCCGGCTATTGGTTTTCATAGATTCGTTCCCCTCTATTCTTTTGTCTACATTTCAAACAATTTGATTGTTATTTTTTCTCTTTAGATTTTGAATCGAAGAAAATGGCATTAGTTTCTTTCGTTGGAAGAGTTCTTTTCGCTTCAGTCTTCATCCTTTCTGCTTGGCAAGAGTAAGCATCACTTCTCATCTTCCTTTTTTGTTTATTGGAAACGGAAAAAAAAACAAGAGGAATGGTTTAGATCTGAATGCATTTTTGGAGTTAGGTTATTTGAACTTTAATTAATGATGATTTAATGTTCTCTGTCGTTAAATAAAAAGGATTATTAACTGTCGGAAACAGATCTTCTTTCTTTTATGATGTTGCTTGCTTTGTTTGAAGAATCAGTTCAATATAAGGTGTTCTTTAGAGTAAAATTTTGAATCTGCATTGTTGATCTGGCTTTCTAGAGTTATTTCGATGTTTAATTATTGATCCCTGTTGTGATGCTGAAATATTAACGATTAAGTGCGGAATGAGGTTAATACGATATTCAATCTCTTCTTTAAGTTCTGGATCTCGTGAATGTCGTAAATTTTGAAATGGTTATTGGTTGGCGATTAGTATGTTGTATAAATGATGAATAGAGAGTTACCAAAGTGATTAATGCAAAATTCCTTGTTCGAAGAGTCTGGATCGAATCTCAGTATCCCACTCCAAATCGAAGGAAATAATAGGATTGTACATATTTGTTGATTGACAGTCTTAAGATCTGGCCAGATTTGTAAGTTTATTAGATTATATTTTACAGAGGAATACATTTGTTTGTCGTTGTTATCCTATCTACTAATGATGGAGTTTGAAATCCAAAATTGTTTCAAACGTTTGCCTCGTGTTCATTTAATTGTAATTTGTAACTAGGTTATCAGCAGTTGGGGTTTTAAAATTGAATTTTCAATCTGTAGATTGATAATCCATAGTTCTACTATCTAACTGGGGGTCTCTCAAAGGCTATGGTGTAAATTTGTAGCATTATCATTATGTTGAAGGAAATATTCTGTCAGCACGTAGATCTTTTGTCATAAACTTTACATTATCTATAAAACATATGTATTAAAGAGCTGTAGATTCGGATTGTCTTTTGCAATCACAACAGAGATGTTTTCTACGTTGAGCTTATATGTATACCGTAATTCTGAACTACCATAAGTTCTTTCATGCGTGTCTCTACTCTTATGTTGTGTGTTCTTGTGTATAGGTTCAATGAATTTGGTGTTGATGGCGGGCCAGCAGCTAAGGCACTCAAGCCAAAGTTTAATGTTTTTTCAAAGACTGTGACATCTCATACTGGATTGGAAGTGCCAGAATTTGATGTAGGAAATCTAGTATTTTGCCACAGAGATAAGCATCTGGTTTTTCTAATGTCATAACACCAGTGGTTGTTATTTACAGATTAAGTATCTAGTTGCTGCCGGTGTAGCGTTCAAGAGTGTTGGGGGTCTCCTTTTTATCTTTGGCAGCACTATGGGAGCTTATCTTCTGGTGCATTTTCCGGTCTTGAGCGTTATTGTGCATTAGTAGTTCAATCATATGAACCAACTCAATTGATAAAAGTATTATACAATTGTTTTCCTGTAGGCTCTGCAACAGGTCATCATTACTCCTATTTTGTACGACTTCTACAACTACGACACAGAAAAGAAGGAATTCGGCCTACTCTTTTCAAAGTTCTCACAGGTTAGTGAAAGTATTCTTTTCTCATAAAGATTGGTGTCTCCATTTCTTCCGTGTAAATGTATATCTCTTGTTGGTGGCTATTTTCGAACTTTTGATATCGATGATGAAAATTTTAATGTTACTGTTTCTAACGAAATTTCCTTTACCTCTTAGAACTTCGCTCTGCTTGGGGCGTTACTCTTCTTTATTGGCATGAAGAACACATTGCCCTGGAGACAGCTCAAGAAAAAGGCTCTGAAAACCAAGACAGTTTGAAGGAGGAACATCTGGTAAGCCAAGGGTCAATCCGATATATTTTTGTATGCTTTGTAACAATGCTTTGTTCTTCAGAATTAGGGAAAGAAAGAGGGCATATTACGTTCACTTTGATACTATCAACTGCAAAGCTAAGTTCATGTCGATTTAATTGAGTTTGAGGAAGAATTTTGCTATTTTGCTTTCAATTCTAATGCTCTATTTATACTTTGACCATTTCCATAGATTTTTTAATTGTGGTGCATATTATTGTCCCCAGAAGAATATTTTTCTGCAGCTTATGCCAATAGACAATTTTTTATCATTTGACTAGGACGTTTTTTTGTTGAGTCATTTGATTATTAAAAGTTACAAAATAGTTACTCGACTATTCATATGTTTCAAACTCATCATTTTTCATTAAAATTTGATGAAAATCTGAGCTAGACGTTAATTTGTTGACTAAGATATGATAATCGTTTAAAATTTTGGGATATTTTATTATATCACCTCTATTAGTTTAACGTTCAACTCAGATTATCATTAATTTTTTTAATATAAAAGGAAAAGTTTAGAACATATGAATAGTCAGATGATTATTTTATAATTTTTAATAGTTGTGAGACTCAACAAAACAATATCCTATAGTCAAATGATCATATTATAACTTTTAATAGTCGAGTAGTGAAAAAGGAGAGCCCTGTAGTTGAGGTATCATAAGTGTATTTTTACACTAGAAGTAATTCCGAATAAATGGTTTCTTGATTTATAATTTGAAGCACTTACAACGATAAAGGAGTGTCATATAAAAAAAATATTTTTTCTTGATTTTTTGGTATTGTAATTTATTCAAATTATCTTATTTTATTTTCTTAAAATATAATTTATATTGGGTTATTTATATATCTAATTTTATAATAAAATTATTTAAAGCATTTGATTTTATACAGCACATTAATCTTATAGTAGAATGAAATGTAAAGATGAGACATGGTAATTTGCAAAGCTGATTTGCGTTAGTTTGTGTGTACCATCTATTTTGGAGATTAATGCATGGATTTATAGTAGAATGAAATGCAAGAATGAGGCATGGGAAGTTCACATAATTTTTACTGTAAATATTCCCATAAGTTTCATTGTGACCAGTGTTATTTATATAATTAATTATATTGTGATTTAGATATTATATTGACAAATGCAATGAAATGTACCTAATATTTTTTGCTTTAAAATTTGATAAAAATTCCTTAAAAGCCCTAAATTCCATATTTTAATGCAATAACCGTTTAGGAAATGTAAATTTATTATATTTTGTGACTTAAATTTTATGCACAATCAATTATATTAGTGTAGTCAGTGTCAATTTCTTATAAATTCAAATAATATAATTAATTTTACGGTTACATCAACGTCCATGGTTCGAATTTTGAGTTTTAAAACTTAATATTGTGAATAAAAAATTGTGTTAAGAGAATTATTCTCATTCTTCACCATGAGACTATTAATATCCTTTTTCATATTAATTGGTGAATGTATTGAATATTGATGATTGTAAAAAATAAAATTTTAATCAAGATTATCGGTGGTCTGAGTAGATATGTGGTGATTTTAATCAAGATATGCGGTTAACCCTTTTTAGATAGGACGTAGAGCTACAACCAGCAGTGATGGTCAGAAGAAAAGAGAGGAAAGGATTGAAGAAAATGATGAACATTGGGTGTGGAGTTGAAGATCATCTCCTTCAGGCTTGCTTGAGTGGGTATATATGTCCCTAACACCAAACAGCATGGTGGTTTATTTCAGTCCTAGTGTTGATGGTTATTGATGGGTTGGAAGATGGTAAATCCGATTGTCACATAGTAACGTTTCCCCTAACAACTCAAGGATGAGTGGGAATCGGTTAGACTAAAAAAATAATTCGAGAAAAGATGGTGAAATTTAGGTTTGAAAACAATTTGATTTTAGAGTCGCTATCAACCTTTGGGTTTGGTAGGTCGAACACCTAAAAATATCTTTTTAATGAATTTTAGAAAAATATTTAAAGACAAAAAAATGATCTATGTTTTACCAATGATTCATTTTTAAGAGTTCTGGAGTCGATTACGCATGGAGAAGTAAAAACTCCACACATCGCCCAAATTTGGTACCCAAAAGATTATAGGTTGTCTAAACATTGAAATTTCAAACTTGAACCTATATTTAAACTATGATCCTTTCGTTTATTTGAATTTATTTTGAAATGAGTGAATTTCACTAAAAGGTTTTATTTGTTGAGAAACGAAAATTGATTCACTCGAATTTGTTCAAAAGGATGTCCTTTCTGTTCAAGAAAATCAACGAAGATTGCCATCCTTTAGAGTTAGGATACTAACTTGTCAATTCTCTCGAACCAAAACAACATTGCCTTCGGAATTAGTAAAAATTAAAAATATGATGGTAAATAATAAATGTAATGGGTGCAATAATATACTTTTATTGAATAATTAATATCTAAAAAACCTATTTATTTACCCCAGAAGGTTATTTTTTAAAGAGAAATAACACCATTTTGTATGAACAATCTTTGAAAATGCGCTTTTCTTATAGTTGAGAGACTTTTTCATGGATTTCCCTCACAAAATGATGTTTCTTTAATTTTTATTGATAATATATATTAAAAAATATAGTATTATATTAGTTTCCAAGAAAACATTTGGATAAATGAATGCTTTTTGTACGAACAATCATCGGAAATGCGCTTCCTTTATAGTTTGGAGACTTTTCCATGGATTCCCCTCACAAAAATACGTCGCCTTACATTTTTTAAAAGGAAAATAGAATAAATAAACAAATAAAAAAATGAACCAAAATGAAATAATAATAATAAGCAAAATAAAGTAAAATAAAATAAACAACATGATAAAGTAAAAAACCAATCGAATATAAAAAGGACTTTTGTGCGAAAAATTCTCGAAGACACAATTCACTTGTAGTTTGGAGATGTCTTCATGGCCTTCCCTCGCAATGAAATTTATCTTTCGTATATGTAAGAAAAATATTATAACTTATAATAAAATAAAATCCTCAAATAATATATATATATATAATATGAGAAATGTGCAAAATGAATAGTGACCATAGTGAACAAATTAAAAAATGATTAAATGGCTAAGCAATAAACATTAATTAAGGGACTACTATGACATAAACAAAAATTAAAGACTAATCATTCTATAAGTCTACAAAGGTTCCTATTTCTAACTATAGGTAGCAAAAATATAAAAGAAAGCAAGTTTAATTTGGGGTCTAAAATATGAGCCAACTATTTGTTCTCTAAAATCATAAATAAGGGACTAACATGAATATTTTATAAACTGACAACCAAGATCAAAATACTGCATGAATATGATAATAAATGAATAGGACTAAAACATAAACAATGAAAAGTATAGGCATGAGAAGTAAGTAAACCACAAGTGATATTAATGACTTAAATAAAATGAGGCGCAAATTAAGAGGCATAAATGAAAATATAGAAAAATAAGAGTTGGAAACTGAAAGGACTAAAATAAAAGACTGGAAACTAAAGGGGCTAAAATAAAAGTACTAAAATGTAAAGTTCTGGAAATTAAAATAACAGAAATATTAAATTGCATAAATTAAAAGTTAGGGCATTATTTTTAATATTTTACCCTGACCGTAAACAATGCTGATCATACCTGGGGCGGGTCACTGCGAAGTCGTTGAATGTTCGAATGTAAAAGTTAAAGGAATGTTTCGAATGATAAAAATAATGGTGTTAGCGGGTTAGTTCGGACAATAAAATAAAAAGTTAGTAGGTTAGTTCGAACAATAAAATAAAAAGTTAGCGAGCTAGTATTAGAAAATTAACCTATACCATAAATAATGCGAATTGTATCCTGGAGCGGGTCACTACAAGGTCGTTGAATTAATTCGAACGTTAGGAATAAATCAAAGTTAAGTTAGTGACTAAATTAAAATAAATAAAAACAAGGTGTTGAAATTAAAACAAATAAATCATATATATGACATATTAGTGGCTAAATTGCAAGTAATGAAAATAAAGTATCTAAATTAGAAAAAAAAAATAAGAAAAACCAAAAATATTGTTGACCATTATGCAAATTCACCCTAAAAGTTGGAGGGTACAAAGATGATTTTATCATTTTGTTCTATATAAGCGTCTTTTTAGCCATTTTAGGTAAAAGATGAACCTGGCTACTTTTCAAACATCTCATCTTTCGTTCTCTACACTCTCTCCCTCTCCAACCTTTAACCCCGCCAGTACCCCCCAAAGACTCCTAATAACTGGCTAGCCATTGTATAATGGTGGCCAAACCTTACTCCAACGACCCATAAATGTTTTCCTCCTCATCTAGAACAAGAAAAAAACCAATAACTCCAAAGAAACTCCTTAACCTCTTTTTTTCTTCTCTTAATTGAAACCCTAAACAACCCCCAAAATACCACTTGTCAACGGTACAAGCTCCTCGACCACAACCATCGGTGGCCGACTACTCCTAAACCGAACCAAAAGAACACAAAAATCTCACCTTTTTGACCCTTAAACTAAACCCAATAAAAAACAAAAAACGACTAAGCCCCCCGACCTGCGGGCGGCCTAAGTCCCCAAAGGTGGGACCTTTTCCCGGCGATGACCCCTACGACTAAGGTAAAAGTCTAAGCCCCATATAGATATACAGTTAAATATAAAAATATACTTGATTTAATTATAATTAATGACTAGAAAAACAAGGTATATTAAATGATAACCTAAATTAATACTTATACTTAAGTACAATATAAATAATGATGAACAATATAAACAACCTCAAAAACAAATGGAAATATAGTAATGAATTAATACTAATAATTATAAATCATAATAAAAAAAGAAAATTTAAAAGGAGGAGATCAAATTGAAGCCCATACTAAATATAATGTCTACAACTGTCTCTCTTTGTCCATTGTCATGTGAAAGGAATGAGGCAAAGACCAAAGAAACTAATTTTGTATGGACACTCTTTTCGTTCTGATTATGAGAATCAAGCCCTTCTCCAAAGGATGAAACTCTGAAAATGACATTGTTCCTTCCTGTTGAGGACGTTTGGCCATATTCCAAAGATTCGATCCTTTGTCTGAAGATGTCGGGTTTGTTGACGACATTGTTCCTTCATGTTGAGGATGACTAGTCGTGTTTGAATAATTATGAACC